TCGTTTAAGGAGATGTATTGCTTGTTTATTTTTTTCATTTATCAGAATGAGAATATTTATTTATACTGGAGGAATCCGATGAGCTCTAAAGCTATTTTTCACAGATGTCCATTAGATAGCCCACTGACATCTACTCGTGCAGTATAGGTGATTGGTTACAAGAGACGTTGGTGCTGTGTTCGATTGGTTGTGATTAGCGCAATACAATACGATACGAACCCGACCACCCCGAGTTCAAATCCCGCTCGCGACCAATAACAGTGGTGAATATTTGAACCGATCCTGGTTCTCCCCTAGGTTGACTCAGCCCTGATGCGGTGTGTAAATATCAGCACTGGGGAGGCAAAGGCGGGCGGGCGACTGTGGTGTTGGCCACCCGCCACCCTGTGTACCCAGTGCCGGATCAAGCTCAGTGCGGAGCCTGTAGCATTTGTTATAAAGGGGCCCTAAATATAAAAAAACACGAATTTTTAACTTGCATAGTAAAGCAATTGTATTTTCTAATCTGCTATAGAGCCAGATAATACGACAAATCGCGAACCTTAAACACCCAGTCGTTCATAACAGTTTAAGGCAGTCCAGTACTATAGTAATAGAGCAAGTGCAGAATCACTGAACCGGAATTGATAGTTTTTAGCGTGGGTCCCTTGAAAGTGCGGGCCCGTAGCATATGTAGCTACTTTTGCTACTAGGATAATCCGGTCCTGTGTGTACCGTGCCGGTCTTCATCGATGCTCGGGAACAGCACTTGCCCTAAGAGTCTGTTTAAAGGCTATATGGGGGAGAGCCTTTGTCATTGTACACGACAAACCCCGTGAGACATCGTAAACTTCAGCTTACGCATCGTCACTGAATGCCCAAAGCAAATCACACTGGCTATGCTAAACAACGTGAGTCAGGAGACACGGGTGTTTAACCGATTTGATCAAGTGTATTGAGATTGGTGGGAGACGCGCAGAGGCTTTGTCATGTAAATGATGTTGCCTCTATTTATCTCATTATTTTATATCTATAGGAACGTCGCATATTACTTATTTTACATTTTCAGGACACAAGTGTTTTTGACGAATGTGTCGGGGTTTTCTTTGGCTAATTGTGCTTGTGCAGCAGCATCACCATCAAATTATTATTCTATATGTGGATCACCCAGATTAATAATAATAGGAGACAAACTCATTACACGTTATGTTTAGGCCATTGGGGTTTTGACTTTCCACACAAATGCATTTAGGCAAACAACTTCTGGACCGGTTTCAACCTTCTGGGTCTCATCAGGAGTCAGGCTTGTTAAATGCTGCTGGGTCATCCCATGTTTTTGGCAAGGGCACTCCGTCTTAACTACGGAGTGCTGTTGAAGGCAAAAAAACAAGTGAATACTAATTATGCATTGTTGCGGCGCATTATGGATATATCTAGCATAAGCTGAACCTCGCTCTTTGCATTATGCTAATCATCGAAAGCGCATTACACCAATCAAATTGCTGACATGGCTGGATGTGTAGAACATTTGAATAATAATTACCTCTTTTGAACCTTTTATTAGCTATAACCGTAGCAGGTTTTAATTGAAATGTTTGGCAAAATAGGGTATAATTTCCGTTTCAATATTGTTTAACGCTGACGTGTCGAATGATGTAAATTGCTGTACTGTAAAATGTATAGGGTCACCTTGACGGGGAACTTTAACTAAATAATACGTATCTCCCCAATGTGTAGTGGAACATCAACTGATTGAGTCTTATACGCGCAATAAACATGTGCTTTTAATAACGAGCACTGGAGGGCATGTTTGTACTTCGCTGTTGTGGAAACAGCAATACAGTTGTGATTTGAGATGATATTTCAAAGAAAATTAAATCGCTAACCAAATGGCGCATTTTTTTTACAACATTGATTTTAATCTATATTTTCAACAAAGCATATTACAAATAAAAAAACACACACACAAACAGGATATACAGTATTCGGTACAAACGAATGGGTCTTAGGAGGAATCTAATTCGTGATATAAAGCAGGAAAAGCGAAGCAGAGGAGAGTTCACATAGAAGAAGAAAGCAGCATTGTAAAAAGAAAGGTATTATTTTTTTAAATATCAAACTTAAAAGGGGACTCAATAAAAACGGTGAATGAGCCAACATCAATTTGAGGACGTGAATCGCATTAAGGTATTAAGGCACACTACTTTACATTACACTTGGCATATGGACCGCGGCACTTAATGCATTAAGGCTGCGCGGTCACCCGCTGTGCCATCAAATATCTCCACTGAAGCCGTAATCAGTACCGCACGATTCATTTGTGGGCAGTTTTAATTAGTGCCGTGCAAATAACTCACAGCCGATAATTAAATTTACCGCGACCCGGTTGACCCGAGGGTCGAAAGAGAAGCGAGGAAGCGACTAAAAACCCGAGGCGTCCAGGAACAAATTACAAAGGCACGGCGGAGACGAGATGGCTCAATGTCCCCCCGTGGCTGCGACGGCGGCCCTCTCGTGTCATTCATTAGCCACGAGAGAGCGTGAATCAAAGGACCAGAGAGGAAGGGGGGGGGGGGGGTGCGAATACATCACACTCATTGTTATCTTTAATTGTAACAAGATAATCAATATTTCTGAAGAATACGACCGCAGGCCCGGTGAATAATGTACCCGGGCCCGGCGTATCGAGTTCTCGCGTTCGGGTTTGCGTGTGCGGTCACCGTTGTATTGGGTGCCTTTCCTCACTCGAGCGCTCTGATCGATAACAAGGACACTTTCGTGAGCCGGTAAAGTGCAAAAAAAATAACAACACGGAGCAGCCTCTCGCACGTAGGCTTCACTTGCAGTTCAAAAAAATTCGTTCCGATCTATGCACAACCGCGTGATGTCCACCAAGTCACTATTATTTTTTATTTAAAGGGTATATTATTATTTATTTTTCGTGAAATAAGCCAAAGTTTTGCACAAGCACGCACTGTGTGATTGTGCGGGCATCGGCAAGCGTTCGGCCAGGCGTAGAACTCTCCCCGAGCTTACCAAAATTAAGATGTATATCAGCGGCATAAGCCAGACTTTCTGGCGTTATAGATACATGTTTTCATCCGTGATGTTTCACTAACATACGTAGCATCTCATTTGACTTTTAATGACCGTACATTCTCAATCGGGTTCCTATAAAACTGGATCGGTTGTTTGGAAACGGATATTCGCGTAAACGCTTTTGATTACTGTATTTGCATTCTACCTCGTACAACAGTAGAGTATAGATACAGAATTTGTTTTCCCGAATGCTCTGTGAGTATTCATACATTACCCAGTGCGTTTTACATATTTGGTAAACCAGTGCCATATAAAAGCTAATTTACGTAGGGAGGCTTTTTTTAAATTTACCACCTAAAACAATACATGGCCAGATTATGAAATCGATGCTTAAATATTTAACTCAAATTTGTATTTATTTACATGATAAGACTTGGGATGTCACACTTGCAGTACTGTAATTGAAACAAGGGGAAGGCTCATGAGCCACACAATATCTGTGAATATCGTAAAATTAGTGAGTGGTGAAGGGGGGGGGGCGACAGTTTGGAATGATGGTGTGGGGAGACCTCCATCCAGCAGTGGATTGATCATGGCTGATGATGATAATTATTAGGCATTTAAGTTGATGTAACAGTACGTTGATCATTGATTTAAACTCAGTTGCTACGCTCATGACATGTCACATTGTGTACGTGAGGCACTTTTTATGACGTATGCAATGTATAGGTAGATTGTATTCTATTTCTTTGGGTCCTTCGGTAAAGCCACGTAGATAGAGACATCATTTTTAAAAATAATAAAAAAAATTATATCTACGTGGCTTTACCGAAAGACCCAAAGAATATTAATTCCTGCAGTCACGAAAGCTTTAAGTCAAGATTGTATTCTATTATTGAGTATGGCAATGTATGTACGCATGTGGAACTTCTTTCGCACCGTACGTAACCAACTGTGCTAATCGCAGGTGCGGGGGTGGAGGCCAACAGACTAAACACCAAAAGCAGTTCTACAGAAGTGAGTTAAGACGAGTTATGGAGTGACAGCTAAAAGGAGTGACTATGCCACAAGAGTGAGTATTCAAGAGCTAAATGACAATTTTTTTTTTATTTAAAGCTTTCGTGACTGCAGGGATTCATATTCTTGGTTCTTTCGGTAAAATCTCGTAGAAGGGAAACAATAAAATAATAAAAATATAATTATTGTTTTATATTCTTATTATTTTATTGTTTCCCTTCTACGAGACTTTACCTAAATGACAATGTCAAGGTCTGCTAGCCACGAGAGGTCTTCAGGCTATTCTTGCGATGAAGGAGTGCAGACTACAGCGATTGCACGCTCACGTTACATTTAGGATAAACGAGTGAACAAAACATAACCAGCAACAAAAATGAGAAACGATGAAAACTAGGCAACAGATAATTTATTCTTTGATTCAATCACGACCCCAGATCGTTGCAATTGATCGAATTTCTCAGGATTGGTGTTGCGGTGACGCAAGAAGTCGATGGAGTGGTGGGGGGGTGGTGGATTGTGCCACGTGTGGCGAGGCCTTCCGTGCTGAATTGGCACAGCGATAAGGTGGAGGGCATGGCGACCCCCAATAACCATCTCAAACTCACACGGGGACACGTCTCATCTCCTCGTGATGTCACTCATTCACGAAGCAAACAACAAGAGTCGACTATTAATGCAGTCATCTCAATCGCCCACGCGTGTGTTTATTAACATGGCAGCAAAGGGTACAACGTGACGGTACAAGGACAGCCATGGGGCAACTTCTACACAAGTAGGTTTTCGTCCAAAGCATCGCGCGTCAAAGCAACGGTAATGCCGCTATATAGTGGTCTACAATTAAATCAATAACGCAATGCAATACACATTGCTAAACTGATACGATTAAAACACAAAATACTAGAATACACGCAATACTTAAGAATACGACTCATGTCACGTTCCCCACACCTCCCCCCCCCCCCATAATTTGATTGCATTGTGCATCCCGTGTTTGCGCCCAAGCGCGTTGTGCTTAAGCAATGTTGCATACATCCACTATCTCACTCCCAGAGTAATTACAATGCAGATCACTAAATCACATTGCCAACGGGGCTCGCGGTGCACAGCCAGTAAGTTAGGAGTTTAGACGCACTGCGGGTCTTGGGCTTTGTTCGACAAAAAACAACAAACGCAGCGCGATGCATGCCCCGTGGATCTTTGGGGTGACGAAATGAGAAATTTGCGCTCTGAAAGAAGGCCTATTTGTGTACACGTTCCATTTAGATAAAAAAATAATAGTTGTGCGATGCGAGTGTTTAGCACATAAAACATTGTCAGGCCCAAAACACTTTTCAAAACGAATCATTGATTGCGTTGTTTTTAATTAGTTATTGCTGTTCGATATATCTAAGGAACGCAACTCCTGTATAGCCCCAACTGACTTGGGTTAAATGACGCAAAACGCTCACATTACATGCAGGTTTTATTAGATTTATGTCTGAGCAGAACTTTATAAAACATAACTAGATGCCCACACTCAGTGCATACGGGTCATTCTGCTTCTATAGCAATACGAATAATTTCTAAGATGTGCGACACAAAATCCACGCTTCAATGTTCTCCGACAGATTTTATAAATATCACCGATATAAGCCTAATTAACTCGGCAACACCTTGATGCGGGAGGCGAGACGTTGATTACACGGCTTGTTCAATTGTCGTGCAACCAACGGAGGGTTCTCGCCTTTGCGTTGTTCTCCGTTTCCACTCGCAAGGTCTCCAATCTACGGGGGCATCCAGCCGACGGCCCCTTCCTCCATCTTCCGTGCCGCTAGACCCACGCTTACCCGGGGCTCACTTGGCTCGTCGACACAGACGACACCGCGGTGCGACTGCTGGACGTCTCGGACTCGTCTGTGATGAACTTCCCGCACACGGTCTCCATGATGCGGGCCCTGAACTGGAATACAAAGGCAACGATGCGAAGTCGTTCGCTCGTTCGGCGTATACCCCGGTTCCGCAGAGTACTCTCTTATACCGTGATATCGTGCGAGTGGAATTTGGCCCCTAGTGCTCGCCACCCCCCCCCCCCAGCGCCCCTGACAATAAAGGCTTAGAACTCCGCTTTCTGTGGGCTGGGCAAAATATTGAAATGGGCACTGCAATTAAGCCACGTGTGTTGCAACTTTTCCCTTCTCGTATACACCACGGTGGGCGAGAGACATCGAGCAGAATACGCAAGCAGATCACGCCGTTACTCATTCGCTTTTAGAGCTTAACCTTTGTTTAACATTTACTGTTGTTCCCCCAGAGTTTTTGTATGCCCCCACCCCCACCCAATTTAAAGAAGGTCCCGCTGCAGGGGTTGGCATAGGGTGGTAGGCATGGGCCCTCAGAGCAAGGGATCGAATACCCTCCACCTGCCCCGACTTTGTATCCCGGTTCCTGGGTCGAGCACGTTGGACCCGACGCCGTTGCACCGCCTGCACACTCATAGCTACGCCACTGCTTTCTTGTGTGTGGCGTATCGATTATCGCACAAATGTAATTCCTTTTTTTTACTTTTATCAAATGAGGGTTATCAAAGAAGATATATATACGCTACCACATGGACAAATATATCTTCCTGGACATCTGCTGGACACCTGTGGGAAAAAAAAAACTTTACAGCTTATCGGATTTCTCCGGGATAAATAAAGATTCTGATCCTGAAGATGGCCTGCCGCATGAACTGTTCATTCCGTGTTAACTCAACGTCACTCTCGCCGGAATGGTGCATTTAATTAGGCGACATCCGAGCCGTTCAAATCGCAAGAGATTGTTGTTAATGTGTTGACGAGGCTCGCCCTGGCTCCTCAAACGTCATGGTATTGCCACTCCCCCTCCAGCACGCATCCTGATTAACTCCCACTCGACTCCGGTCCCACATTCCAAGACCCTTTTTCACTCGGGGCTCCCGGCAGCAGCCAGTGCAGCTCTCATTCTATTAAGGGCAACCCCATCTCTCCCACTACCACTCAACCTGTACAATTAAGGCCGATAAGTACTCTATCATTGAGTCTTAATGAAGAAATGTTGACCTATGGAGTGTAACATTCTTACCGGAAGATGAAGACCTCCAAACGACCGGGAGGAGGCAGACGCACTCCCAATAAAGGACTATTAAAAATATATAGTTTTTACCCTTTCTGGCCATAAAACAGGTGTTAAGATGTTCAAACACTCAAAGAGAAAGCTTTTTTTGCAAGGAACAATGTCTGCATTAACCACACGTGGTACTTGTGGTGAACATGCAAATAAACATGCTCTGATAATAAATGGCATTGTCTTTGAAACCGATTGGCCTACACCAGAGACAGCCTTCTTTAGGGCCTGGTATCAACTGGGGCTGAACGATTTGGGGAAAATATCTAATTGCGATTTTTCTGACAGATATTTCGATTGCGATTTGATTTGGGATTACATTTTTTAAAGTCAAGCTTCAGTTCAATTTTCACTGTTGAATAGATTTAAAACATGCGATGGAGCATTACCGCATGCTACCATCAAAATATGAACTGCTCATTTCTAATGCAAGGATGAGAACTTAAAAGATATGAATTGCTTCCAACATGTATTTATTAAAACATTTTAATTTAAATAGAACAATCAAACATATAACAATTGTTAAGTTAATAAATAACGGTATAATAACAAATAAAACAATTCCAATAAGAATAATAGGACTTTTAAAATCGCAAAAAATCGCAGCCTTTGCGATTTGCTCATCGCATTTTTTTTTCAAATTGCGATTTCGATTTGAAATCGATTAATCGTACAACCCTCGTCTCAACTCGTGTTAGACCAGACAACGCTAAAAGGCGAACAGCACAAAGACAACGCACTGAAGGACTATTGGTGGAATAGCTTCCACGTGGTTCATTAATTTGCTTAATGTCTTATGGAAAGAAATCCATGTTAGTCCCCCACATGTTATGCCTTGGGTTGCTGTGTACTTCAGAATATGGCAACCCGATCTTCCGCCGCCGCCCCCGCTCTATTCAAGTGCAACAATTTTCGGGACATCTGTAAACAAGAGCTTCATAGCTGATCGGATTCCTCCAATATAAATACATCATTTTGGTTCTGTTTGCAAGGAGTGGGCCACGGGCATACACACACACGAGACTCGTTTCCTCTTCCTCCAATCCAATCGCTTTGGCGCTCACCTGCTTGTTCATGAACGAGTAGATCAAGGGGTTGTAGACGCATGACGCCTTGGAGAAGAACGCGGGCACCGTGACGAAGCGCAGGTCGATGTTGTGATCGCGGTTGGTAACTACGTAGAGGGCCAATGCGGCTTAGGGGCACATAGCACGTACAGAAGGAGCCCACCATCACGATCACCATCCGCGACATTTCTCGCTCGGCCTTCTGAGTGCTCGAAAGACTCCTGCTACTGCACCGCAACCTTTAACGCAGAAGCGCACGGCGCGGCGGTTTTTTTTACTGACCGAAGGTTCCCACTCAGGGCACGCGTGTTAATGATGTTTCGTCGCGTTCCGAGTGTGCGTGGGCATTTGTGCGCGTTGAGCGTCTATGCCTTCTCTCAAGCTTGCGCCCGCGCGCTGCTTTTGCGGGGCAATCTTGAAGTGTAAAATTAGGATGCGTGCCGAAAGTTTGAGAGAAGACATCAATGCTCCAACACGCGGAGCCTAACCTGGAACACCACACGTGGGTTACAAATGGCTGTGAAAACGCGTGCGTTACGTGTGAATGGAGACCACTGCTTAATCAATCAAATGTCGCACGAAGAGAGTGCGGGTTGGTGAAGGAGGTGGCCCAGAACCAGTTCAGATAGGATTCGCCACTGATGTTAGCCGTGGCCGGGATCAAACTTGGCATGCCAGATTCAAGATCGCAGTGTGTGTGTGTGAACCTGCTTGTTCCACTCCACATAGAGAGTACAGTCCCGTGTATGGAAAAAAACCCCACGAAAAATAGATTTGAAATTACCGCTGTTGCAGTTTAAATCAAATTGTAAAATAAATTACAATCTATAGTAATTCGTTTTGCAGAAATGCATTGCTATTCCAATACACTGCGAAGTGCATTGAATGCTGGATATGAAACACAAATAATACATGATGATGGCCTTTTTACAGACTATTCAAAAAATATACGAGCCAGAGCACAATGGGTTTTTTTTGCTAATTGTTACGCCTACATTTTATCTAAGCCTGTAGGCTATTGCTTTGCAATATATTTAACTTTTATACTAAAAATAACATAGAAAATGTAATTATACCCTCTGACGCAGATATCTCTTCCAAAATAATTGTGCAGATTCACATTTGGCGACTGCACAATTTTTGCCATTTCCCATTAACCATGATAATTACGTAGCATTTAAAATTATATCGGCGTCGTGATGATTATGCTGGTGGAGGACGGAGGCTCCACTTTATAAGCACTTGGGGTCACGGGCCACTATGCTCCACAATAAATCTTCAAGAGAATAAAACTTGAATTCGGGCCATGAAGCAGGCAGAACTTGAAATCACTCCACCGTGGCAACAGGCTTTACGGTTTCCATGCCCCGTATTTTAAGAATTATAATTTTAGGACCTAAATCATACCAGCAAATATTTGGTGGTAATGCTGCTGCGTCGGCAGTGGTGCACAATTAACAAAACTCGTCAACAACACTGCCTTAAAAAGAAAAAAAATATATAATCGGCAAAGTTTCAGGCAATGGCCTTTCTGCATTGCACATAAATATAGAGGCCAGAGAGGTTGAGTTAGTAAGAGTTGGAGACTGCACTTCGCACCATGGGGACCTGATGAGAATAGTTTGTTGTTTATGTTTTCATCATTGACGCCTGAGACTCGCAGGGGCGGCCGATGGCACAAATCTCCGGTGGGGCGATGCTGGCGCCCTAATGTGGGGGGGGGGGAATAGCGGGTGGGGTAGGGGGAGGGGCCGGTGGGTTTAGTGGAGCAGGGATATTGGCAGAGGATTGCCCTCGTGCAAATGGCCTTGATGGGCCACTGGCGCAAATTACTTTGCGCCCCATTCGCTTCATTTTGGCACGCGGTGGGAGTGGCTTTGAATCGGCCAACGAGATCGCCGATATATCCCGTAGCATTGTGGCGGTGAGGCTGAGCGCTGCGGTAGCGAGATGTTATCTACCTCGCCTGGTATGCAGCACGCTCAGGGGATGCATGAGAGGCAGAGCCTCACCTGTCATACCCCAATGAAAATAGCTGTTACGAAAAGTAACAAAAATATATATAGAATACAATTTTAGATTTTTTTTTCCACTGATCCGTGTTATGAATGTAATTTCTGTACGATTCCAATCATTCCGGAGAGATAGTAACAGGCACGAGCTTGTTGCCCGCGCTCCATCCAGTTACCGAGGGGTTGCGCAATCAGAGGGGAGGCTGAACTCGTCACTGCCTCACCTCTCCCTCCTGTATTTGCAGCGCAGCTCCGCAAAATTTGGCGATTTTTGACAAATAAAAATGATTAGAATCATACAGAAATGACAGGTGGGGCTCTGCCTCCGCTGACCGCACGTCCCTGGTATACAAGGAGGTCGTGGGTTTGATCACGACCCTGACACCTGCTGTATATTTGGAGTTTGCGTGTCTCACTCCCCGTACGTGGATTTTTCTCCGGGTCCTCCGGTTCTTCCCTCCACATTATATCATCAACGTGCGTTTAGAGTATTTTGCTGCTATACATTGCCACATGACGATGAGCCACTTCGTTGAGCTACCGTTTGTGGCCAGGTCGCTTATGGAAAAGAGCCACATTAAGTTCAGTGGGCCTTTCCTGGTTAAAGGGGCCGTCCATAAATGACGTCACACGATTTTGTACGATTTTTGACCCCGCGGCGTCATAAAAAGTCTCAAATATGACGTCACAAAGCTCTGCCCCCCCCCCCAATTTTTTTTAAACATGCTTCAAATCGCTTTAAACTATTGTCATTGTAGTGCGTATTTAATGTGGCGCTGCACTCTGATGTTGTAGGAGAAAACATTTATTAAAAAGTCTATTTAACTAAGTAGAACGTGTTGTCTATATTTATTTAAAGTTGCGCATTTTGACGTGACGTCACATTTCTCAACCCCCCCCCCTCCCTCGTCACACATCATCACAAATGTCTGACCCCCCCCCCTCCCCAGGTGCGTGACGTCATTTATGGACGGCCCCAAATATAAAATAGCGTTTATATTTATAGTTTAATAGAGTACTGTACAGGTCTTTATTCTATTTATATCGATTGTATCAAGCCGGATAATGGTGGCTATGCACGTGTCTACTTGGCACTGTTGAGACTGCGAGAGGGTTGGTGGACAGCACAAACGTTGCCAAACTCCCTTCCTCTGAACGTCCAGGTATCACATATCACACTCCTTGGTTCTTTCGGTAAAGTCACGTAGATAGAAAATAAATAGATCACGACGTTTCGATCGCAACACAAGCAACCGTCATCAGGTGAAACAAACACAGCAGGAGAACTGCTGACGTAGGAGAAAGAGCTGCTGCAACATGAAAGAATCAAGAGTGTGGATTCCCGCAGTCACGAAAGCTTGAAATCAAGATGATCACAAATCCTGGCTGGCCAGGAGATAGCAGCACAACAATAAAGATGTTGTCCACACTCGTTCCGTCTGTATGGGATGGAGTGTTTCCCCCTCGCACGCGTGGTTTTCTCCCACTTGTAAAACACTCATGAATTGGCCAATAACACCGAAATCCATAGAGGCCCACTGAGCTTGGGCAATTGTTGACGCCACTGGCTCATCGTGTGATGGGGCCGTCTCGGCCCATTATCTCCACGGGGTCACTAAATCGAGTTACTACTTTGTGGCGAAGTCACAACAGTTCTGGACAACGGAGAGACTCCCCACCGTAGAAATATGAAATTGCCCACAAAAGGTTCATTTGAGTAGATTTTTGTTAAAGTAAAAATTACTTTCTGGCACATTATTGGATACGTTGTATCTGCCAAGCAGGGCAGCCAACCCCATTTTTTTCCGTGTTGGGCACTTCCTTTGGGAGTGTTTTATGCAGGGTGCAATCTCTTCGCTTTTGGATGCCATAAAAATGGAAAAATAAAAACTCCAGAAAGTAGCCACATTTGTATCTACCGCTCCAAAACGCAACACCCCACAGAGAAAAACAAGAGAGGTGGGGGGGGGGGGCAGTTCCTAGGTGTACAACCTCCTACTGGAGGTGCGGGGTTGTAACTCATTTGAACCTCCAAGATGTGGCTCATGTGTCTGTAGCATATTCAAAAGTCATGACTGCCATTATAAACGCTTGAGGCATCTGCAGCGTGCACGGGTGTGTGGGGAGACTGCCACGAACGTGCAAGTTGCATACGCTAATGTATCCATTGCACCAATAAATAAAGCGCGCGTACTTAGAAATAAAACGCAAATTATAATTGGACGTTTGGAGCAAATTGCACACTTTCAATTTGTAATCAAAATTCCGGGCCTTCTGCGTCATGTGACGCGCGCGTCATTTATTAAGTTGCGTGTGTAATTTATATCAGTTTAAACGAATTTTCTGGCCTTTTATTTGAGAGGAGACCAAAAAAAAAGCACCTCAACATGTCGCTTTAACGGGTGATCCAGAAATAAACTAAAGAAACCCCGCAACAACTTCCAATCACGAGTTACCGCGGAACGAACCAGCATATGCACACACACACACATTGTCTTAATTATTCACCAATAATTAAAATCGACGCACGCGCGCGCGAACCCAACAACCCACCACCGGCTCAGGAGCGTGTTCAGAAGCTTGCCGTAGGAGAATATGATGATCGATAGCTGCACGAAGAAGCAGAAGACCGAAGAGGAAGTAGGTGCAGTACTCGCTCTCGTACTTGGTCCCCACCGTGTTCCAGTCGGGGCTGCAGGAGCACTGCAATCCCTAGGGGATGTATCTTTGACCACGCATCGGGAGCAGGCCAGTGTGAGTAGTTAACTACATTGTAAGCTCAGAGGGGGGAGTGCAAGAGCAGGGGGGTTGGGGGTATGGCAATCTGTCAGGTGGGGGCCCGCGATATTTAATTTGTCTCGCACGGTCGCATCATTGCATGCGCGTTTGTTCGTGTTGATAAAAACGCATCTCGTGCTGCATGTCAAGGCCCCCCCCCCCAACTCGTAGCTTTGGCCACCTGGCAGGGGGGAGGGCAAGGCACCCCCACCTGCCCCCACGCTAGTTATGCTATTGGGAAGCGTGCATCTCTCTAATAGCCAGCAACTGGCATCGTGTGCAAAATATTGCAACATTGCTGCAGCCCCAACGTAGCAGCGGTGTTTCACGGCCCCTACCCTGTTAAAGATGTGCTGCACCTGCGCTAAGGAGTGCTGTAGTTGACGGTGTAGCTGCTAAGGTATTGTATTCAATGGCACGACATGCGTTTAATGTTGGACTATGGGACCAACTGAACGAATAATTCCGTTTATATTTTCTCGAATGATTGTCGCAATTTAATCCGACGAGGTTGCTCAGGAGTTTTAGAGTAAGTTGTTTGCAATCAAAAGCTTGCAAATTAAATATCCTGATTGGGGGGGGTGGGGGTTGTCTCGGCCCATCATCTCTTCGGGGTCACTAAATCGAGTTACTACTTTGTGGCGAAGTCACAACAGTTCTGGACAATGGAGAGACTCCCCACCATAGAAATATGAAATTGCCCACAAATGGTTCATTTGAGTAGATTTTTGTTAAAGTAAAAATTACTTTCTGGCACATTATTGGATACGTTGTATCTGCCAAGCAGGGCAGCCAACCCCATTTTTTCCGTGTTGGGCACTTCCCTTGGGAGTGTTTTATGCAGGGTGCAATCTCTTCGCTTTTGGATGCCAAGGTTTTAAAATTCCGTACCTCATTGACTTTACAGAATGTAACAGTTCAGACCTTTATTTAACCGTGTGTGCAAGATCCCTTCGCAATGTGTTATATTGTATGCAGGGGCTGCACACGATTTGTAACCACTACAATGCCTAGAATCCAACATCTGTCCTGGTACAAATGTGACAAATGCATGTAAACAATCATTTCAAGAATTGATTCTGTATATCCAACAAAAATAATCTAAAGCATTTGTAATATTATGAAATGAATATGGGTCAAAACAACAGGTCAACTTAACCAATGGTACGATCCTTAATTGCACCCACCCGCAACCCTTTTTACATATTTATCATGTGCTCGTAAAAAAACTATTGTAGACGCCGCAAGAATTAAAGTCAAGATAATATATAATCACAGCTTCAAACTGGAAATGCATGTGTAAGCAACTGAACCCCCCCCCACACACACTTTCACTCATTACGATGCAATAAAAGCAATCATCCGTTGAATATTCTGATAGTTCAGTAGGGATGTTGAGCGACTACGAGTATAATGCACCATGGGGGGAGCAGCACCAAGTGTTTTTTGAAGCATCATGCTATTTTCTTTACCCAACTAAATCATTACCAAGATGAGTGCACCATGAATAAATTTCACGAAGTCAAGTTTAAAACTGGCTTGTTCCAACCTCGAAAAATCACTTGGACTAACGGGACGAAAGCTTGACACTCAACAGAGGCAGTGCCTCGATAGTTTTTTTTTCCTTCCAGTTGTCTACAGCATCTATCAGAAAAATATATTATCATCAGCCACATACGTTGCTCTTTTAAAGGCCAAAGAAGTAGGATTATTTATACTGGTATTAAGGCACGTAGCTTTACTTGCATCAGAGCGAATCACACTCGAAAGTCGTTTAGTTTGTCCTTACGCGTACGAAGATCTCACCTGCTCCAGCCGAAGAAAGGTGGCAAAGCCACACCGAGACCCAGCACCCAGGTAAGGCAAAACGCAAAGAGGGAATGTATGGAGCCAAAGCGAAAATTACCAAACGGCTTGCAAATGACGATGTAGCGCTCAGCTGCCAGGAACGCCAACGACCAGCCAGTCACCAAGCCTGTGTGGCGGGCAGACACAAGCAATGCACCGTGTAATTAATGATTGCGGCATTTACAAATGACAAATGATACATCGTCCCATGCAGGTATGTGCAAATAAAACGCACCGAATTAAATATTGGCTTTTTTTTGCGTAGCACTACATAACGAATTAAAAGAAGACTTTCGTTTCATATACTGTATTCACCGAAATAAACTATGTATTTAAGTTCATTAGCCTATGAGTGTTTTTTTAAGACAAACGTCAGCCGGAAGCATTTGCTTGCTCACAGCAGATTCTAAGAGTAAACTGATTTGGCCTCTTCCAGTGGATGATTTCCGCCCATAGTAAACGGTATTTGTGAAAAGGCTGGTGGTGTGAGACAACCGTCACAGCAGCATGCCTGTCAACCCCCTATCGGTGCCTACCTTATTAGACCAATTCACACCTTATTGGTCACCCCATGCCATTTTGAAATCTCAACGTTCATCCTACAAAGTCCCATCACAAGGGAGAAACACAAATAGACATAACGAAATTTGCCCGTATTGAAACGGCTTTTACGACCTGAAAACTCAATTTCCTTGCACAAGAATACGGGTATACGGTAGAACAGATTGAAAGTTCCAAGTTGTGTTCTGTCAATAAAATGCCATTCGAATTCAAATACAGGCCTTTCCATCGGAAAAAAGTACAAATAAATCTTTAAGAAAAAAAACACGCGAACTATTGTGTGAAGAGCCATGTTAAACATACATTTATGGTTATCGTTATGAAAGTATATGCAACAAAGTTTCTGAATTTCCTAATTATAGTGGACAAATCATACGTAATTAATTTGGTGACCGGTGCACCTTAGTCCACTACAAGCTGGACATGAAAACAATTGAAAGACTTACCGGCCATCGAGCCAAATAATGATTCCAGTGCACAGACCGTGGGTCCAAAGACGAAATAGCCCTGCGTGCTGAAGAGGAACACCGTGGAGATGGAGAAGAGACAGAAAACGAGGCCTGCCGCCGATATGTTCACGAGCATGTAAGTGAGTGACTGTCGCAGCTTCTTGCATTTCACGGTGACAATCAGAACGATGGCTGTTCAGTGGCGTGCCGCCCGCACAGGAACACGAAGCCCATGAACGCGGCCTGGAAGTCTAAAGCCCACTTTGTGGCAATGTGAAAATGCGGACCATCCAAGGGGCCCACTTTGGAGATGTTTTTGAACAAGTAGAACTCTTCATCTCCGGACATGGTTGCCGGTTGCTCACCCCCCCACTCCCCACCGCTTTGCAGGCCGTGTCTGGTCAGGCTTAAAAGCACATGCCTTGAATTACGCAAAAAATCCAGTGTTTGCCAAACACCCCATGGGCTTTATATGCTTTCCATAGGATAATTGGTTGGATTAGCTCCGGCTGCCACAGTTTAAACCACTTAACTCTGTTCGGGCTCTGGTTTTAGCCGCTTACAATGAGGCTCGCCGTAATCAGCATATTGCGGAGGGGGGAGGGGGGGAAAGGTTCTTACGAGGTCCATTAGGATATCGGCTAATTGCTCTTCATAAAAGACAAGCAAATGCCCAGGTAAATCTGCTAATGTCTTTCATCGCCGATCGTAAAGTGCCCAAAACGCCTCAGTGGACTATCAACCAAAGTGCCTCAATCAAAAGGCCAATGTGCCTCATGACGATCAAATAAAAGCATTGTGAAGCCCTAACAAAATGAACCGTGATGTCCTGCAATCAAGTTTCATTCAGTACGTTTAAGAAATGTATCACTTTCTAAATCCCGACCATCCAAAACTCTGCGTTATGCAGGCAGAATCAATGGTAATTATGTAAAACGGAATATCGATCAGAAGTGATATTCTGCTAAATGAATGGACTTCTGTTTTACCATAAATATAGAGAGAGCATTAACAATACACCAATGTCTATATGCTGTACTGCTTATCTGAAAAATATCACAATCACAGCATTAGCTTAATCTGATATTTCACATACACACAGTTCAGGCAACATTTTAAATGTAATTCTAGTGACAAATTACATTTCTATGGACATAAGCAATCCATAATGTAAACAATCTGCAGCCAAATATATTTTTTAATAACTGTGAACAAGATTTACCGTCAGGCATATACTGCAGACGACTTGGCAATTGATTGGGTGGGATTTGAATTGCTATGTTTTCAGATTGGAAAACAATCGCATTGCAAATGGATAATGGTAATTATCCGGAAGGCACAGCTTAGCTGAAATAGCCGACTAATCGGCCCAGAAAATCCATATCCCTTATATAATTGTTGGAAACTACACCCGATCGTCTCCAACACAACTCAATGGACGGTCAAATTTGTCTCTCCACAAACCGTGGAAAGATATTCCCGATAGTAATGATGAAATGTCAGTCTTTATTCGAATGTGATAATATATTGCAAAGTTGACGGAATATTATTTTGGGAATTTTACTTCGGCTTCAACCCTCAATAAGATGCGTCACAGCTGAATTTCGATGCCAATTTACAGGTAAATGCATTAACTCCTAATTTTTACACAATTTTTATTTCGCATTATCAATTCCTATTGCTGCCGGCGTGTGTGCAAAAAAAGGGCTACGGAATCCTGAGTATAATTGCAAAACTGTAATTTAATATATCATTGTCATTAACCATAGAAATCGGATTACACAGCGGTGTGAACACTACGACCTTACCCAATGGCAATGAACTTTTAACCTCATTGTAGAATGTGGCCTGAATGTTCAAAAGCCCCATCTTTTATGATCCATATTTCAGATACATTTTAAACACGGGTAAATACACGTGCAACGCACGTACGCAAGGGCCAACTATTCAGGAAATGTCATAGGAGAGACAATAACGGGCAGTAAGATATAAAAAAACAATGCATGGGGTTGCACAAAGCACTGATCGAGAAGGAATGCGTTAGCGTTGAATGCTCGACATTATTGTCACCATGGACACGCAACGGTGTTCCTACATCGCATTAGAATTTTTCGTACAAAATATTTAATATTTAATTCACGAGTGTGGTCATAAAGCAAAACATGCTTATTGAATGGAAAGCTCTTCTCTCGAGCCACGACAACACAAACTGCCTACGAGCCAAGCGGCAGCATGCTTTTGTCTTTCGGCTCACGGTCACCGTCAACCGAATCCACATCCTTCTCTGGGAAGTGGGTCCACAACGACCCCTGGCTGTGAACAAATGCACTCTCATCGTCCTATCCCGACACGCTACACTTGCCAGCTAAACCTCACTTTTTTAATGCGGCAGCCCTCGGATAATAGAGGGGGGGGGGGGGTGGTGGAAACGGTTGAACATTTTTTCATCATTTTCAAATTACCCATTTCCATACGCAATATCGTCAGGGGCACGCAACGCTTTGAACTACATTAAGCCGCGCACAGCAGAACAGCGGGGGTAAGTTAATGTATCCTCCTCATCGGACGCGCCAACTGCAATGACCTACAGCGGTTTGAAGCCACGAGGGATCAATGAATGATCCCCGTTGCCCTCGCTATGCATGCCAACTGTGCAAAATGAATTCATAACGGTGGTTTGTTTGAAGGTTTGCACGATCGCACTGGGCAATGCTTTCATTCGGCGGGGCACTTTGTATAATGAAGCCAACACACTCTGGGCATAAACACACCAAACTTATTGTACCGTGTACTGTATAGGTAATTAAACGAAAACGCCCCGTCCGTTCACAGCAGAATTAAATTAAAATGTATGGGAAGCTAGCTATATATTGCCTAAAAGCTTTTCCTATAAAATAACTACCCTGATGCAATGGCCATTCAGAGAACACGCAAACCAAACCATTTTCCAAGCTATTTATTTAACAGCAGAATTCACACATCGTAGATTTTTCTACCAAAATATATATTTTCATGCCGGCTGTTTTAGAATTAAGCCAACTTGCACAGTAACAATAAATCAATCTGTATTTTTTTTATTCTCTAAATTTCCACATAAGCTACTTCTGTTGAGCTATCATTTGTGGCCAGGTCGCTTCTAAAAAAGAGCTAGAGTTCAGTGGGCCTTACCTGGTCAAATAAAAAAGTTTAGTTTTAGTTTAGTTTATACCTTGCCAATGCTTTATACACTCCACCAGGCAGTACTAACAGGAGCAGTTCGTCTGCATTAATAAAAACTGGTATTGTAGTCCATCCCTCGTGGATTTTCCCTCCAGATGAAACTCTGTACATTAGCCTGGCACATCAAGCACAAGCCCGTTACGCGGAAACTTAAGACGGGGGATAAAATCCTACGACACTAGATGCAAACAACAAAAACGTCATATTCTTGGTTCTTTCGGTAAAGTCACGTAGAAGGGAAACAATAAAATAATACGTGACTTTACCGAAAGAATCAAGAATATGAATCCCTGCAGTCACGAAAGCTTTAAATCAAAACAAAAACACCATTACATAAAAATGTTATAATTTTAATCAACATTCAAAGTGGAACCACAGTCATTAAAGTAAAGATATTATTGACAATATCAATAATATAAAAAATGGTTAAAAGCAAAACAATATTTGCCACTAATTAGGACATTTCCTTCTTTCACTTTTGTTTTTTAAAACCGCCCCGGGATTTGCCTGCTTTGCCTGGGCCACCGGGTTTCCCGGGTTTCCCGGGTTTCCCAAGTTTCCCAGGCTTGCCCTTCTGGAAGGACTTCTTGCTCTTGTGGTCGTGTGAAGAGTCCTTCTCGGCAGATTTCCTCTTTTCCCTGAAACGTGCAATACCAAAAAATGAGGTGGAAATAACAAATGTCAGCATTGGATTGTCCTTTGAAAAGCACAACTATTTATTTTAAAAGGCCTAAAAACCTGTTGTTAATGTGAAATGTGAAAAATTACAAGACCCCAGGGTAAGGTGAAATATTTCACCATCATCAACAACCATGGTCCAGCCACTGCTGTATGAGGGCCTATCAAACCCAGCATCTCTTACGATCCTGCAATGGGAATCCACCTAGCACCTGCACGAGCCGATTTAATCAAATACGCTAAATCGTTACTCGTGTTTTCATCAATTTATGTTCGAACTGAAAACACGTCGTTCCAATGCGTGCATTTCGGCGTTCGCATAGCGGTAACGAAAACGGTGAAGGTGCGCGTCACTGTTAGTTTTTTTTTAAGGTTTTAATCTTCGCAGGCCTATTCGAAACAAAAAGGCTCTTTTACATGTGCGGCTGTTCATCAGTTTCTTACGTTATTATTTTTTGCACCTCCTCTTGAACTTGGAAAGCTATTTGTGTATTACCTCGCACTACGCGGCACACGTATACAAATAAAACGCGGCGGAAATCTCCAGACTGCCCTGCCCTCAATTACAGAAATGGATGGGGGGGGGGGGCTTTGTGTACTCCAAGAATGGGTTGCATCCGGCCAATGGGTCTAATTGACATTAAACTGCTAGAATACTTAAGCAGGCAATGGCTTTGATGCATTGCAATTGATCCGAATGCACTTCAGCCCTTCCCCTCCCCCCGTACCTCCATCAGATAACACGAAATCCTGGGAGAAGGCATCGGTGATTTACAAGGCCCAAACAATTCAATATCAATTATTCAAAATCTCAACCATCCTTTCTCTCCCCAGATAAACTCTAATCCTCCCGATCGTGGTGCCCACCTGGGTAGGGGAGCTCAATTTCTCCTCCTTCCTTAAACCCAGGAGCACCGAATTCGGGCTTTTGTTTGCAGAGTTGCTATTCCCCCCCTCCCTGCGTTACGGTCTGTGCTTTGTACTGGGCTCATGTTGAGTTACAATGAAAACAAATCTCACCTACCCTGCGGACACAGGGACAAGGTTTGTTACGGTGACTAAATGCCACTGGAAGCTGAACGGTTTCGCACTCTCACCCGGTGATGCTGACGACGCTGGCGCTCGGTCCAACCTTCTTGAGCGCCTCGTTCCACTCCTTGTCGTCCCCGCGAATCACGTACCTGAGGCGCCACATGCAGCAGCGTTGCCGACCGACCCACCAGCGATGCATCGCGGCAGCCAAACGTGGCGGCTATCGCACGCTCCCTATTATTATTACACCCCACAGCGCATTCTTCCCCTACCTGGGCTCACCGGAGATACTCGAGCGAGGTAAATTCAGAACGACACTGGCCGCCCCATGCGAGATGTGGATGTGGACACATTCTCCAGATGTTGCACCCCTCACCGGGTTATATTGTTAACCCATGGAGGATGTGCTCTGTGCCGCATGTGTATTTCAGGAGGTATTTGCGAACACAGATGTGCTCAACAACGACGACCACTGCTTGTGCCTCGGCTACAATCAAGGACTCCGTGACCAATACACGTACCAGCCCTTTTCACCCATCCACCGATGGGACATGCCATGTGGCTTGACCCACTTCCTCTCATATTTCTCGATGCTGGTCAGCGCGGTTTGGTAACGGTGGGGAGCGTAGACGGTTGCAGCATACCCTCACATGTCAAGAATTATATTTTGCTGTGCTGTCCATTGCTGACAACACAGGTATGTAGCAGTCAACAACACCTGTCTGATGGCATGGTGAGTCACCCATCCAAGCACTATCCAGGCTGAACCATAATTAGATTTCGCAATCTGATAATGGGTGTATTCTGTCACGTTTCTCACAAGATACAATGTCATTGAATTGCCCAGGAAAGCCACAACAATTGTAAATACTCGTTTTGTACTGGGATGCTGTGGCGAGTCCATTAATGTTGGCCATGTGGCAGGAAACCAAAGTACCTAAAGAAAAGGTACACAAACAAATGGGGAAACACTCAAAAGATCTGAACAAATGCAAGAACACACTGGTGCTGGTCTGTCATCTTCCTGGCACAAGCCTATATACATCTGCTATTCCCAGGTATTCTGCCATTTCCGAGTACCAACCAGACAAAAATTCTGCTTAGCTTCTGAGCTCTGACAAGCTCGGGCGCGGATTCAGGCGATTCAAATCGACCTTCTGATTGACCGCGGTACAATGCAATGAAATACCAGCTCCAAGGAGCAGAGCTGCAAAGGCAATCGATCAATCCGTTATCGATTTTGTGGACCTACTCTGTAAGGTTCATGTCTTTTATTTGGACCAAGTCCTTCTTGTGCTTCTCTGCAAACTCCTTGGCTGCGTCCTCCTGTAAAATAAAACACACAACACGCCAAAATATCACACCAGTTGATATTTACTGTTTCGCATGCCCTCCATTTTTGATCGACAGGCCATCGTGATGAAATGGTATTTTTTTACCAGGTCCTCGGCCAGGGACTTTACTGTAGGCTCCATCACCACCTCCTTGACCTTTGTCATCTGCTCCTCGATGGCTGTCTCCTGGATGGCGGTGAATACCTGGCAAGAAGAGCAGGGTCAGCAAAGGAGAACGCAATCTCATCCACAATAGGGGGGGGGGGGGGAGGAGGGAAACACCAGCTACACCTTCATCAATATCACTGTGCGATTCATTCAATCAATTAATCGCTTCAAAGCCATTTGTCTGTGTAGAACATGCTTTGATTCACTCAAC